TCCCTTTCGCTCCCAGTCTTTACACCTTTCTCCATACTGATCAATCAATTCTTGAGTCCAATCCCTCCTTGCCTTTGTTCTCTCTTCTTTCTCTACAATTCCTACCTCTACTTCTTTTTCTAGGTATACTTCTAGCGGCATATGATCTGATTCCGCTCTTTGTCCTATCTTCATTTCCTTAATCTGATCTAACGCTTCTTGACATCCTATTGCATAATCTATTACCGACTCTCCTCTGCTACCAACGTATGTGAATTCTCCTTCTTCTCCTTTTTGCCCATTTACTATACACCATCCTTCTTCTGTTATTTCTTTTATTAGTCTTCTACCTTCTTCATTGATCTTTTCGTCTTTCGACTTTCTTAACCTTACGTCCTTGTCGTCACTATCACTCTCATTATCACTTTCATTAATCCAACCTCCTTCTCTCCCAGTTCTTGCATTCCAGTCTCCTAGTATAAGTACGCATCCACTTTCCTTCGTTTTTACTTTTTCCTTTATAATTCCCATCGTCTCTGCTACATTTTGACTATATACTCCTATGATCTTCCAGTTCTGATTTCCGTGTTTAATCTCCTGCATTACTATATTATCGCTCCATACTTCATGATTTCTACTCTCCAGTTTTTTGCTTATTCCTAATATTACTCCTCCTTTCGCTCTACCTTTTTTATGCTCTCTAGTCGCTGCTATACACTTCCACTCATAGCTTTTTGGCAACTCACTTTCTACATTAGTCCACTTGTCCTTTTCCAACCATGTCTCTACTAACATTATCACATCAAATTCACTTAAATACTTCCACACTTCACTGTCCTTATTTAGCACTCCCGCAATGTTCCACGCACAAACACTAACATTTCTTCTTCTCACTCCCTCCTCCTCTACATCTTCTTGTTCTCTTCATTCTTGACTCCTTCTTCTTTCCTCTGTAAAATCTCCTTTCCTTTCATCAAATCTAAGCCATTTACCATCGATCAAAATCTTCATATATCCAACTTTTGTATTTTTTCCTTTGTTCCTCTGCTCTTTTGACTTGTTTAAAATAAATCTTTGGATCTCTCTTTCTCTCTCTGTTAGATCGCTTTCTATGTAAACTCCTCTCTCCAGATGTTTTTTATTTCTCATTACTTCTTCTTTCATTTCTTTACTTGCCAGCCTTACTACCACCAACTTCCTCACATTTTGACCAGCGTTTACACTTATCACTTTAGCCTTCTCTATCTTGACTTTTATTTTTATCTTTTGTTCAATATATTCTTCGACCTTCTTCTCCAGATTCTCTCCTTCAATATTTGCTCCTTTTATAACAATGTTCGGTCTCCTTTTCTCTCTCTCAGCTTTTTCTGTTTCCCATTCCAACTTGCTTATTCTTTCTTCTAACGCCTTCTTTTCTTCTGTCCACTGTTGCCTTTCTTTTATCCACATCTGTTTTTCCTCTTTCCAATCTTCTTCTCTTCTTTCTAGACTACTAATCATGCTGTCCAACTTCCTTTCCAACCTGCTCATCTTATCGTTTAATTCTTTATTCTCCTGATTTTCTTTTGTAAAATTCAATAGAGTCTGTTCCTTTAATTTTGTATTTGTATTATTTCTTGTATTCATACTTGCTGCAGGCGGCTTTCCGGCCATTTTTAAATTTTGCCGATAATGCAGTTTTCTACTTTACTGACACCCACTTCTATCAGTCAGAAACTTTATTTGCCAGTTTTACTCGACAAAGTAGTGACCTTCCTTACCGACCTCAATTATTTTTTCTTTTTTTTTAGAAACGTTCCTTATCTACCTCTCAGATTACCCCTTCTATCGACCTCTTTCTCCAATTGCCGCTTCTTTCTTCTCGTTATATCTTTTCTAACCTAACTTTCTTTCGAACTTCACTGCACTTTTTCTTTTACTATCACCACTTAAACACTGTTTTCCTGTCCTTTTGTCTCTCGTTTTTCCGCTCATTAATACCTTTCTTTATTATCTCCTATTCTTACTACCCACTCCTTACTTGCCTTACACGTGTTCTCTTTACCCTGACACTACCACACTAATCTCACTTCATCCTTTCAAACTTTCATAATTATTCACTTTACACTTTTTTCTCTGCTGCTTCTTCACTTTTTACACTTCTTCATACTTTTTATTTCTTTTATTTTTACTTTAATTACTTTTTATTACTCTTTTCTTCGGAGCGCTCTCTCGACACGTCCGCACTCTCTCGCATGCACAACGGAACTCCCGAAAAATCTAGTTTTCGTAAACAATAGAGGGTGTGACTGATACACAACTCACTTGTTTGCGAGTACAAGGGTAGGAGTGTAGACAAGTAGAGTTTGCACAGTAACGGCTAAGGATTTGACGAAAAAGATAGGAAAGCAGTTGATCTATTTGAAGCAGGAATTTTGACCTACCTGAAACATGTGCAGAGGTTAACGAAGACAACCTGTTTAAAACTATTTTGTTTTTTGACTGAAATGACTAAGTTATGCCATGACAAAACAAGTACCTGAAGATTGCGCTGCTGGGTTGAAGCTCTGTTTATTTATTTTTATTGTAACACATATTTTGTATAAATGCCTGCAAGTCAAAGTACAATTGTCATCTAGACAAAGTCTCACGTGTGCTCAGGTAGGTGCTAGCTATGCACTTTGCCTGATCAGACAATAGGGTATGCTTCCAAGAAGTGCATCCACCGCAACTTTACCACCAAGTAGTCAATCACCTGTAAAATTTTCAACGTCGTCTTTCTCACATAACCTGCAATTTGCTTCCATAAAGCATGGTTGACTCAAAATATTGAGAGCTACTGAATACGGTGGCGCCTCAACAGACCTTATCACCTTCAACGAACTGGCTAACGTGTAAATCTTCACCTCGCTACTAAGCAGAATTGTGTTCAGGACTTTTAACATAATTTAACGTTTGTATTCGTTATTATACCATGTAAGGCTATCAAGTCAAAATTGACGTAATCGTTAACTACAGATTGCGTAACATATAAGATGCCATTAAAATTAAAGAATTTTTTTATAATTAACTAGTCTCTTTCAAGTAGCGAACAGACTACTTCTTATCATCTAGTCTTGTATTTAACTGAATAAAAATTAGTAAATGAAGTTAATTTATTTATTAATAATACAGACATAGATAACTACAGTTGTAAATATTTAATTATATGACTTTTCCTAGAACAGTGACGTAAGAAAAAAATTTTTTATCACATTAAATACTAATCTAAACCATCTGGTCTGATGTATAAAATTTCTTCAGGAACAGTGTTGAAAATTCAGTAATGTTACGTTGCTGAAATAGATATATGTTTTTTTTTTAGTGTAAGTAGGTATTTATTTTGCAGTGATAAAATGAAAAGACTGCAACCAATGATTATATTCTTTATTTAATGCAGCGGGTTAATCACACATTCTACAGTTGTAAAATAGAACCCCTTGCATATTATACTGAGAACTTTTTGGACAATAGAAACGAGAACAAAAATCGATGACAGTATTAATTTGGTACCAAAAATTCTCAAAATCTTCTCAATAAAATTTTATAAATATTACTTATTTGATCCATGTACATTTTTCAAACTAATATGATTGTATATTAGTAGCAGTTTATCAGATAATCTCACAACAATATTCACTAAAATTTCCTATTATATTCATATTTCAAATTTACAGAGATAGAATAATCTCTAACAATAATTATATCAGACAAAAATTTTCAATTCAATAAAGTGTCAGGTAGCACACTTAGAAAATTTCTTGAAAAAATTTTGCAATCAACTTCTGACTCATCTAACAAGTAAACTTTGCTCTAGTAAAACACAGTACACATTATGTAATAGAATTAGTGAATAAATTTCTTAAACTGCATGTTACAAAATTATACTTTCATGAGAAAACGTATCTACTGTCAATGCTAATAAACATGTTGTATAATGACAGCAGTAACTTTGATGTATTTTTGTGATGTATTAAATATTAGACTTGGTCGCTGGCGATAGTTAGGTGTATACGCAGTTAGCGAGGTGTGCGGGCCAAAGGGCTTTTAACAAAGCTTTGAGGCAAAAAAATGTAGAGTTTATAGTCAAAAAGGTTTTGTAGTTTCATTTAACTATAAATTTCTTAAACTGTACGTTACAAAAACGTACTTTCAATATAAAATGTAGCTACTGTCAACGCTTATAAATATGTAGTATATACATGTCAGTAACTTTGATGTGTTTTTGTAATGTATCAAATATTATATGGTTACATGTTAAATTTAAGTAAATCAAAGTATAACAGAGTATTGTATTAAGATTTAATGTTTATGCATTTGCATGCAAGTTTACGTATCTTATATCCCTAAACTTCACCATCCTTGTTCCTTTTTTTCCTGTAATCACCCTTTTTTTCAAGAATGCGAGTGTTTCGTGCGGGACTCTTGCAAAGTTTGCCTCGAACAACAGATAACTCCATCATCCATCTACTGGGGTAATATTTATAGGGTGCAGTTATCATTTTGAGTACAGCCTAGCTAGCATTAAATTTAATGAGAGCAATTAGTATGATTAATTGTTTGTTAAACACGTTTAGAAAGTGTAATAATACTAGTGATTAGCTGTGTATATTTTTTGTTAGTATTTTTTTACGTACTATCAGTTAAGTAGTACTATATTTCACATCCCGTATTCAAAAACTCAGTTTCGCATATCTACAGTAGAAAATAATGTTTTTTTCACCCATTTCCACTTTCACCTTCACTGACACCATGCAGCCTGACATTCATGCTCAATCAGTAACTTTGCTTTTTTTATTAATGGAGCAGTTTATAATCTAAATATCCATTTTCACTCGCGAACCTGTAAAATTTGTACTGAAGAATATTGAAAGGATTAGCTAAAAGTGTTTTTTAACGTACATAGTAGAGTAGCATTGGAAATGTAAATATTAATGGCGTATATATCAAAATTTAAGTAAAGACATGACATTAAAAAGTATTAATAAATAAGAGCCACTTACTGTTTTTCTTTCCTTTAATATTTAATTGAATATCATAGAATGTTTCTACTCTTCTTGAAGTATAGTTAATTTTCTTACAATTTATGAATGATACCATTTTACCTTCGAATAGTTTGGGTACAGTACCTTCAACGCAAGTTCCTTTCATTTTACTTTCCAATTTANTGGTTTTTTCATTTTCCCAGATTTTTCTATTTGGGCTTTTTTCTTTTTTGATAAATATTTAACGGGCATTGTAAACACATGGTCGAATGTACTTCAATCTATTTGTATTTAAGTAAATATTTTGATTATGTTATGTTAACAGTTTTAAAGTAGTCAATGTTATCATTATTTAAGACTAGATACCTTCAGTAGACTTATTTTCTTGGTCACTTTCTTTTTCATTACAGCTTTCTTTGTAATTATCAATTGAAGACGAGCTTCGAATAATATCAAGTGTGCTTGATTTATTTGAGTCACTAGCATCAAGTATGCTTGATTTATTCGAGTCACTAGCATCAAGTGTGCTTGATTTATTTGGGTCACTAGCTGAAAGTATTATAATCACATATTTTAACATTAAACTATTGACATTGATTATTAAATTTTACACAAGAATTGATTGTATTATTGTATACATACCATAATCAATCGAATTAGTATCTAGTGAACTGAAAAAGTTGTCAGCAATACTAGTTTTTGAGAGAGAAACTTGAGAAGAACCAATTTCAAATAAAGGTTTTTTAATATACAATCCTAAGGAATCAAATCTCTGTCCTGGTGATTTGTAGATAGTCAATAGGTGAGGTGCGCGTATTCAATGTTATTCTAGGAGTATAAACTTTGCTTCCTTTTTTTCTCCCGTTATTAGTTCTGCTTCTATATTATGCTTAAATAATTTTGTTATTTTTACTCTTGTGCCATTACACAGACCGTCTGATATATTTAAATTTCTTATTAACAGTACTATAGCATTTTCTTTTTATTTGAATTCGTGTGGTTAAAGCCCTTCTCTGATATTATTCAAAAATTCTATCGGAAAATTAGTATTTGTGTTTTCATCTGTTTTATCAACTCCTTGGTGAGTCGCGTGTTCAGCTATTGTGAACTCATTCTCAGCCTGCATTGATAATTACACAAGTAATGTTGTTATTTTGTCTACTCAATCTGTTAGTGGGGGTTTGGCGCGCGGAGCGCGCAGGGGGGCGTCAGT